CTGCGGGCGCGGCGTGTGCGCGGGTGGCGGGCGGGGGCGCTCCCTTGCCCCAAGGGATGCTCGCTGGGGCCGCCTGTTGCCATGGTTACGGCTGCTGGCCTCAGGGTGCAGCAAGGTGGTGGTTCCAGGATGAGGGGTGTGGGCTGGCGGGTGGTGGGGGGGCACTGAACAAAGCTGACCCAGGGCCTGAGGGAATTGAGGCCCCCCAGCCCAGGGAAGGGGACAGTCCCAGGTCCCTACTGCACAGCCTTCTGGATAAATACAAACAGGAACCCCTCACAAGTGTAGGTGGTGGTGGTTGGGATGGGGGCGCGTGTTTTGTTCTAACAAGGCTGCCCCCCTCCCTGCACTCTCCTGCCCTGGGGCCCGTGGGCACACTCCCTGCAGGGGGCTGGTTGGAGACGGCTGAACACTGACCCTGGTCTTCCTCTCCCCCAGGTGGTGCTGCCCCATCAGCCCCTGGCCACCTACACCACAGTGGGTAAGCGCCCCCCAGCCCTGGCCTCCCCCAGGCCCCTCGCCCGGCGGCAGCAGCTCCGTCATTTCCTTCTTTCCACAGGTCCTTCCTGCCTTGACATGGAGGTCTCTGCCTCCACAGTGACGGAGGAGGGGGCCCTGTGTGCCGGCTGGCTCTCTCAGCCTGCGCCCGCCACCCTCCAGCCCCTGGCCCCGTGGACGCCCTACACGGAGTATGTGTCCCATGAAGCTGTCAGCTGCCCTTACTCAGCTGACATGTATGTGCAGCCGGTGTGCCCCAGCTACACGGTCGTGGGGCCCTCCTCCGTGCTCACCTACGCCTCCCAGCCACTCATCACTAATGTCACGGTATGTCACACAAAGGAGGCGCTGCACCCACCCATGCCTAGGGCACCCTTTTAGAACACGGGCTGGCTTCTGGACTCTTGATCTCTCTTGCTATTGATTCCCAGGATAATTAGGTCATCTAAGCTTGCCTCATTCTCCTGGAAGGCCTGCTCTCATTCCCATTGACCTAAAATACCTTCCCCAAAGAAGGCTAAGCTTTTAGTGAATGGGCTACCACATTAGATCTTCATGGAGTCTCCTGCCAGACCCAGGCTTTTATTTCTTCTCACATAAGTTAATGGGTGATCATTCAGTTAACAATAGGATTTACTAGAGATTTCTAGGCTGGGCAACAGGTGATACACGAAAACTGTACTTTTGATGGGGCCTGACCCACCTGCAGGGTAATTTTTTGAGTTATGTCTCTAGTTTCAGATGGCTTGGGCTCAAACCCTGATCCTGGGCTAAGTGACTTAATTTCTCTGAGCCTTGGTGTCGTCCTCTGTAAAATGGGAGTACTAACAAGAGTTGATGTCTGGATCAATGGAATGATGCATATAGAGGTCTCAGCATAGTTCCTGGGCTTAGCATAGTTCTTGGCATACAGAAGAAACTCAATAAATGCTAGTTATTATAACTGTATTTGAGTCGACCAACAACATTAACCAAGGGTTGCCTTCAAGTGCCAGATAGGGAAGGGATAGAAATAGTTTTATGTGAATGGTACCTGTTTGATCAAAGAAATGGGAATGTCCTGAGTGTTCAGGGGAGAAAAGGCCTCTGGTTACAGCTCTGTCCAGCATTAGTCCCAGGAAAACTGGGAGGTGGACCTGGGGCCTCAGGAATAGTTGCATAACCCACCCTTGATGATGAAGCTTGTGTTGGTTCTTTGAGACCCCTAAATTTCCTCAAAGGTTCCGTGTCATCCTGATGTGCCCCTGCCCTTCAAACCTCATCCAGGCATGACTTGTAGGAGCCTTCCCACCCCATGCCCATCTGACCACCCAGCAAACCAGTTGTGGGGCCTGGATGGTGGTGGATAGAAAGGAGTTAATTCAACACCTTTCTCAGGCAATTAAATAATTTGCATTTCGAGGGCCTGGGGTAGGGGTGAGGGTGGCAGACTTAATGGTTCCCAGCCATTTCATGACCAAGGATTCCTTTCATTATTTATTCTTTCATCATTCCCACCTCCTGCTTTGAAAGTTTCTGTGTATCAAACAAACTATATTTATTAAGAAAAAATTTATTTGTTTTGCCATTTTGTAAATTGACTCATCAAAGCTGGTTAGAGCTACCCAGTGGGCACTCCTGATCCACAGTAGATAAGACCTGTTACGGAACTGGGTTGACGTAATTCTACCCCTGAGCAAAGAAACCTGCAGTTGCAATTGACCTGCACAGGTTTATAACTCAAAAATGAAGGGTTTCTATTGGATTTTTGAAATATGGAAAATAAGGCCTTGTTGGGAAGCCAGAAGGCCCCTGCAACCCTTTCCAAGTCTGTCACTCCATAGGAAAACGCCCTTAAGCTTTGCTACTTAATCTGTTGTCCCTGGACCAGCCACATGGGCATCACCTGGGGTCTGATTAGACATGCACAATCCAGGCCCCACCCTGACCTCCTGTATTGGACTCTCTGTGGTAACAAGGTCCCCAGGTCATTGAAATAAGCTCTTCCTAAATAATTCTAATAGTTTAGTCTTGAGGTATGGTGGCAACTGGAGAGAAATATGGTGGGGACGACAGGTGTGGTAGGGGAGACCTTGGCCCCTCCCGCATCATTCAGTGCAGAGGCATTCCTCTTCCTCCTGCTTCCTCTTGTGGGGGTAGTGGGGGGTGGTGGTGGGGGGTGGAGATAGTGAGAATGCAGGCCCTGTCTCTCTCTCCGAGGTTTGACCTGGGGTGTAAGGTGGTGGCCGTGCAGGTGGGAGGCATTGTTTGTAGAGTGCCTGGGAGCACGACCCTGACCTTTGGAGGTCCCTGCAATGGCCATAGGGGCCCAGCTCAGAAACAGGATGATGTGATCACCGGAGGTGAGTGGAGCTGTGTTATGCTTACCCAAGGGAAGCTCCGAGTGCTGCAGCTGCTGTGTGGAGCCAGGACTGCCTTTATCTCTTCATAGGGCTGTGGCCACCTTTGTGACACAGCTACTATGCTATGACACAGGCTTATGGTTTAACATGCCGTATTTTCATTGATTTTAATACCTCTAAAATTGGGATGCATTTTATATTTGATGAAATAAACTTCAGACAGGGAAGGAGCATGAGCAAGGACAGAGCTAGTGGGTCAGAGTCAGGGATACAGGAGTGTGTCTGGCTTCTCCCTTCCAGGAGACTTTGAGTAGGTGGAGGTGGAGCCCCCTAGAGGGAGACAGTAGGAAAGACCGTGGTTGAGGGGAAACAAAAGTTCCCCTAGAGGACTGGGGCCGTCAGTGAACATGCCAGGGCTGCTAACCTTCAGTCCTGTGTCTCCCCCATCACAGACAAGAAGTGCCACCACACCCACAGTGGGGCCCCAGCTGGAGGGCCCAGAGCACCAGGCTCCCCTCACCTACTTCCCGTGGCCTCAGCCCCTGTCCACGCTGCCCACTTCCACCCTGCAGTACCAGCCTCCGGCCCCAGCTCTGCCCGGGCCCCAGTTTGTCCAGCTCCCCATCTCTATCCCTGAGCCAGTCCTTCAGGACATGGAAGACCCCAGGAGGGCCATCAGTTCTCTGACCATCGACAAGCTGCTTTTGGAGGAAGAGGACAGTGATGCCTACGCGCTCAACCACACGCTCTCCGTGGAAGGCTTCTAGGGCGGCTCCACCTGAGAGCCCCGTGCCCCGAACCGGGGATCGGGCCTCAGGTTTATATCTGTAAAAAGTAGCCATTTCGTAAATACACTTTTTACCCCAAACTAGAATTGTAAACTGACATCCTTTCTCCCTCCACCCCCTCTCCCCTTCTTTGTTTTTCTCCCTCCCTTCCTTCCTTCCCCTCTTCCTCTCCCTTTCTTACCCCCCTCCCCCCCCATTTCTGTTCCTTTTGGGAAAGGAATGATAAGGATTTTAGAGAGAATATTTGATATCAAGTGTTGCAGCTCCGTGGGCTGGGTGCTTTCTTTCCTGCCATGTTTCTCCCCTGGAGCTCCCAGAAAAGGCCTTTCTTGGAGTGCCCCCTGCCTCATTGGAGCGGTGTCCCTGCCGAGGCATCTTCATTTGGGAGCTGCCCTCTGTCATTTTGAAATGTGTGGGGTGCCCTGTGGGAACACTGGCCCTGCCAGCACCTTCAAACGCAGACCCAGTGCCACAGTTTCTGAGCTGTCGGTCCCCACAGTTGCTCCTTTGTTTGCCATTCTCAGTGTTGACAGGATTTGCAGTCTAAGCAGCAGAGTCTCAAGGCCTAGGGCTCAGGGTGGTGGTGGGTCTGTTGGGTGAGCACCGTCCCGTACACCAGAGGGTTGCCGGTTGGATTCCTGGTCAGGGCACACGCCCAGGTTGCGGGTTTGGTCAGGGTGCGTAAGGAAGGCAATCGATTAATATCTCTTTTTCACATTGATGTTTCTCCCTCTTCCTCTCTCTCTAAAATCAATAAAAACATATTAAAAGCCCGGCCGGCGTGGCTCAGCGGTTGAGCATTGACCTTTGAACCAGGAGGTGACAGTTCAGTTCCCAGGCAGGGCGCCCGCCTGGGTTGTGGGCTCGATCCTCAGTAGGGGCTGTGTATGAGGCAGCTGATCAATGACTCTCTTTGATGTTTCTATCTCTCTCTCCCTCCCTCTCTCTGAAATCAATAAAAACATATTTTATATAATGAACAGAATAAACTGATGAACAAAATAGATCCAGGGACATAGAAACATGGAACAGACTGAGGGCTCTCAGAGGGAAGGCAGGGGTGGGGGAGGGGTGGGGAGAGATTCATCAAAGAACTTACATGCTTATATGCATAACCCACAGACACAGACGAGAGTGTGAAGACCTGGGGGTTGGGGGCGAATGTGGGGTAGGGGAGTCAATGGGGGGGAAAAAGGGGACATTTGTAATACTTACAACAATAAAGATAAATTTAAAAAGAAATAAATAAAACATTTTTAAAAAAAACATTTAAAAACAAAAGAATGCCGGAGTGGGTTGGGATGTGGTTAGAGGCACAGAGGAAGGATGGGTGCATGGTGTATGTACATGGGCTGTGTGTATATGGGGTGTGTGTTTATGGGGGGTGTATATAGTGGGAGGGAGAATGTAGGGGGAGGGAATGTGGGTTTTACAGGATAGAAGGAGTGTTGAGGAATGGTTTAGCCCCAGATTAGTTTGGTTATTGAGGAGAATAAAAAAACTTAAGAAAAATTGTCTTAATATGTGGTTTTGCTGCTCTCTTTGAGGATACTTGCAAGGAAAGCTGAGCTCTTATCAACAGGATGAGGGGCGTGCCTGGCTCTTTCTTCCCGCGTCTAGACCCTCTGTGGCGCTGTGTGTGGGCCCAGACCCCAAAGCTCAGGGGTGGCTGCGCCTTTGTTTAGTGCTGTCACTGCTCCTGTGGTGTCTTAAAAGCCTCTGTAAGCCACGTAGGTGGGGCCAAGTCCTCTTTCCCGAGCACCGTACTTCCTGGGAGCCTCTGCAGCCTCAGCCAGAAGGACAATTTGATTTCATTTTCATTTTCATTTTTTTTTGCTGGAGAAACATAAGATTCTCAGGGGCCTGGGAACGGTTGTCACTGGGGGTACTTAGCGCCTGACAGTGGCTGTGTGCTTGGCGAACTGGCCCATCCCTCTGCTAATGACATCACTGTCACTGTTAGGCAGACACGTTCCTTGGTGGAATCCATGTGGAAATAATGGACTTTTCTGGGAAATGACAGTTCCTTTGACTTTTTTTTTTTTTGGCCATTTAAAATAAAAACTCTGGAGAACGTTGCCTTTTTAAAAATATTTTTTTGAACCAAATTTCTCAGTAACTGACTAAAATCCCAGTAGAAATATCTTGATTTTTAAATTTTTTATTCAGACTTAATTTTTAAATGTAGACAGCATTTTAGATGATGAATTTCCACCTTCGTTGCTAGTGATGGTGAGTAGGCCCTGGTTATGGTTAAAAGCCTTGGTTTCTTATAAAAAACACTACGTACCATTTTTCAACTCACTATTTGAGAAGATGCAGAAGCAATCTCCATAAGGGAGTGTAAATTGACAAAAACTGGCAAAGAAAGTATTTTACGTATTTGCTAAGATTTAAATGGTGTCATTTTTCTTGTTATCTCCAGGTAAAAATGTTTTGGTTGCAGTTGTCCATCTAGGTTTCTTCCTGGGGCTTTTCTGCTAAGATGGAAACATTTGCAATAAAGACTTGCTCAGACTTTTCTGTGCCGAAGTGTTTTATTTCTTATCAAGTTAATCCCCTTTAGCTTGCAGTCCCCCGTCTGTTGGTGTCATTAGAAGAAGGAGCTTACACTAGCCTTGTTGATTTTGCAACTTGATCTGCTGCAAAGGAAGATAAAACCAGCCTCACTGTGCGGCAACCCAGCTCTCCCAAGCACAAGGATGAGGCCAGTAGCTGGGTCTCCAGGAGAGCAGGGATCTGAGGAGAGGAAGGAAATCTTTAACGCTAGTGCCCTTTCTGTTCGCCATGTAACGTGGGTAACTTGTCATGACCCTGGGCGTCCAGGGTTAAGTTCAGCCATTGGCATTTCCACAGCAGGCTCTTAAAGTCTATCAGTCAGAACCCAAGGGCATGTGACATGATGCAGAACCCTACGTCCAAAGGAAGCCCTCTCTTAGGGTCAGACGTCACAATGAAATGGAGATTTAAGCCTCTAGTCTCCTCTAACACCAGCCCTTGGACTGAATAATGGTTGGGAGGGATCTCCTTTCCCTGGTGATTTTCTGAGTTTACTAAGAGCTTCTGAGCTCACTGCCTTCATTGTTAATCTTTACTGGGTAATTACGATTTTTTAATAATCCACCTTATTCTTCATATGTCTTGTTTTCAGGTTTTTTGGGACAATAGTACATCCAGTTATTTAACTCACTTTAGATGATTGGAATTGTCTTTTTTGTGTGACTTCTCCATGTTGATCATAATCCAGAAAAAAGACATGGTGGAAAAGCGATTTAAGATCTTTTCCCCCTAGCTTTTTTTTTTTTTTTTTTTAAATCCTCGCTTGAGGATATGTTTATTGATTCTAGAGAGAGAAGGGAGAGAGAGAGGAAAAAACAAAACATCGATTGTGTTACCTCCCAAATGAGCCCCAACTGGGGAATTGAACACCACACTCCAACCAACCGAGCCACCAGGCTGGGGCCGTCCTCATTTTACTGAGGCTCAGCTATAGGGGAAGATCTTCTACAAGTGTGAAAGGAGCGTGAACCCCTTCATCAGCAAGCTGTCTTGGCGTAGGGTGGTGCTTTGCCGATGTCTGAGTCTGTCCATTTTCAGCATGAAATAGGGGAGCAAGAAGGAGATGAACATGTGGGGAGATGAAGAAGCTGGACATCTACTAAAGAGTAAAATCACACCAAGTGGCTCAGATTCTCTGAACATTAGTCTCCACCCATCTCCATGTGGAAGTTTGAAGACATGTACCAAAGCTAAACATGAATTTCTTGAAATCAGAAATCATAGATAACTTATTTCATATTAACGTGCCTCAACTATGAGGCACTCAGTGATTCTTCATTGAATCGAATTGATTTGGGAGGTTCTCTATTACATTCCATTTAGGAAATACTCATATGGATGATTGCAATTGATTACAGTGATGTCAGTTGCTAGACTTATAGATACACGATGCTTCTCAGATGTTTTTTCTGAATATTTGCTTGAGTAGAAAACTTTTGTAAACTTATGTTCCTAATCTACTTGTCAGTTCTCCCATTAATGGCTATGGTTGCTGTGGAAGGGCTTTAAGTCAAAATGTTTTAATTAAAAAAAATTTAAGTGTTGGTAAGAACACTTAAGAGGTTGATCTTAATGCATTTTTAAGTGTACAATATAGTGTTGTTATCGGTAGGCACAATGTTGTCCAACACATCACAAGAACTTACTCTTCTCACATAACTGAAATTTCATACCTGTTGCCTAGCACCCCTTACCCCCTGCCCTTGGTAACCGCTGTCCTATTCTTTGCTTCTATGAGTTGGATTATTTTAGATGCATCACATAATTAGAATCATGTAGTTTTTGTCCTTCTGTGAATAACTTATTTCACAATACTGTCCTCAATGCATAAAGAAAAATGTGGTATATACATACAATGAAATACTATTCAGCCTTAAAAAAGGAAATTCTGCAATATGTGACAACATCTATGAACCTTGAGAAGAGGTTCATCTATTCACTGAACATATACTATTGAGCACCAACTCTGGGCTAGGCAGGCATCATGAATTATTACAGATTTCTGCTTTGAAATAGTTTCCAACTCAGTGATCTTTTTTTTTTTTTAAGTATGTGTCCATTCTTATATATGTATATTTATTTACTTATAAATTGTATCTCTGAACTACTCTATTAATATATCTGTTATAAGATAGTCACAATAATTTAAAAATATAAATAAAATATGTGATATTTTAACTATTTCATTTATCAATGGTAGAAAAATCCTTTGACCTTAACTATGAATAATATTTAGAAGGAGGAAAGTTATCACCTATAGAGTGTCCCCCCAAAATGTATATACACATTTTTCTGATAGCTCAATTGGTGTTTCTTTCATTTCAGATTTAACCCATTGGAATTAATAATTATTCAAAGTGTGTTTACATTTTTTGGGACACCCTGTACATCTAATTACTTTCAGAAATCTTTGTGATATA